GTCCATAGAATTATATCTTCCTTATAGTTCCTTGCAATCTCACTCCTCTTGTTGTACACTCCTGTTGCCGTCTTCACAATATAAAATGTTACAAATCAAACAGAAAATGTCAACCCCTTTAAAATTGCTGGGAAGGTGTGCAGATCTTAGGCTCATAGACATCACCACCTGAGACATCATGATTTCATTCTCCATGTTTTAAAAGCTGCAACAACTTTAGGGCACATTTACACCACGTGGGTTGGGCTGAGTTGCTCAATGCAGGCCCAACGTAATGACAAGCGGTGTGAATCCAGGAAATTACTTTTTAGCAATTACTTTTCAGTCATACAACTGTATACATCTTGATTATAGATTATATTGTACAGTAGCTAAAGCATATATGTCATCTTTCAAGAATAAGCTGGCTTCCTAACCAATCAGGAAGGCAAGGTGGCCCGTCGTGACCTGCCTCCATGATTGTTCAGGAAGCCAGGCTGCCTAGCAACAATTAAAGCCGACTTTCTAGCCAATCGGGAAGCCGGGGGGCAGGTCATGATGTGGGACGGCACTTGCTGACCCACCGACCCCCGGCTTCCTGATTGTTCAGGCAGCCTCGGCAAGTGAAGCCGGTGTTCTTTCGATAGAATACCAGCTTCCCAGGCAATCAGAAAGCCGGGCGGCGGGTCATGATCCGCCGTTCCAGCTTCCTGATAATCTGGGCACATGGTACCAGTAATGGTACCAGTACTGGGTATCGGCAAGTACCAAGAAAAAAATATTGGTACTCGATACCGAAAAAGTGGTTTGGGTGCATCCCTACTTGAAATGTTAGAGGTTTTTCACAAAGTGAAAAAATAATGTGGTATACAATATCACATCTGATGCTCCCATAATGCATATTCCATTTTGCTCATAAGGTCCTATTAGGTTTACACATATAGAGGCCTAATGAAAAAATATCTGCATAACAGCAAAAAGGAAATGTCATTCATTTGCATACACGGACATCCTTGATAGTACATTTCAAGCCAAAATGCTCCCTTTTATATTCTAGTTTTCTATGAACTTTGTATATACTGTATGAGGAAAGTCACCATCTTTCCTTGCAGATTAGTACTGGTATACTGTCATAGCAAACATCTTAAGCCCTCGTTCACACCTGAACGTTTTGTAGCGCGTTCTACGCTCGACGAACGATCTACAAAACGCTCAAAAATATAAATCCCATTGTATTCAATGGTCTCGTTCCCACCTTGGCGTATTTCCGCCCGTCCCTAACGCGCTACAAAACGGCCCACGCCTGAAAAGGTACAGGTACTACTTTGGGCCGTTTTGTTGCGCGTTTCCATTGGGATACAGCCAAGTAGCCTTCGGAAACACGCGACAGGCGCGCATATGCAATACGCCTAGGTGTGAACGAGACCTTAGTGATGGCATATTATAGCAGTCCAAAAGTACATGTAGAGGCAAACATTTTTTTTAGTTTTGAATAGAGTAGGGAAGGGAGAAAAAACCCATGTCAGGTTATTTTTTTGTTATCTATGTCCTGCAAGTAGGACTTCGCTTAATTTCCTGTCCTGGAAATTTCCCATCTCTTTCTTCTGAGTGACAATTGTCAAAGGACAAACAGAAAAGGGTAAATCTACCTAGCAGGACATAGTAGTGAAAATTGTAGAAAAGATAAATGGCACTCAAACTCCAGGTTTTATTACATATCTTCTAGTGTGGGGGTGGTGTACTGTGCATTGTCTAAACACTTGGCTGACAGCTCCTAAAAGTTAAAGGGATTCCAAGGCCACTTTGGTCTGAGGATAAGGATAGAAAGTGTGTGAATGAAGTGCTGTACAGTCCACAGATACATTTATTTAGATGACAGGTCAGACAGAAATAATATATGAAATATAGGCAAAACATTGTAGGGTCCAAGCCTTAAAAGCTTCACCAGGGCTGAAATTGATATAAAATCTACATACATATAACATGTGCTCTTATTAGTTGGATAGCTCTATATTTATAACCCAAAGATTCCATATGACCTCCTATAAGTTAGTCTTCTGTAAACTGTATGATTTAAACTATTCATAATTTGGCTTCTTTTGTCCCCTTTTTAAAATGTGTTTAGTACTGCCATTGATACTACACGGTCACAAATATAGGCATGATCTAACTGCCCTCTGGCCATTGAGAGATGTAAAACTTCCTTACACACGGTCCTAGTGCAACCATTTCTGTTCATGAAGGCTTTTAAGACAGAAAGGTCACTTCCAATGGTGGCGGGTTGCAATGTGTTAAAGATGAATTTTTCTGTAATGGATTTTTTGCAAAAATTAAAAAAAAAATAATAATAAGGAGATGATAATGGGAGAAGAGGTGGTGTAGGTTTTAACTGTTTAGTAGCCATCTATGTTTTGCCTATTTTTATTGAATGGAAAATACAAAATAAGAAAATCGTAATTTTTAAGGTTCCATTTTATTTTCAGGATAGCAACGTTGACATTTTGGAGTGGAAGTCACACAACGGACAAGGACATGACAATCCAGCTTACACCTCAGATAATTTAAGTCTATCACAAATTAAATAAATTTGAATAGAAATGTATTTTAAGTGATGTTGTTACAATTGTGCTTTCATTTTACTGTAATATTTAGTAGGTTTGTTGTGTTATTTGCCAACCATCAACTCTGTCTATTCTACTTATACTCTATATTTAAATTGAATGATTATCTTATATGATATGCTGAATGCTTGGCCCTATTGTTGTGATTAAAGAGGACCAACCATAACAGAATGACAAAAGTAAAAAAGGAGGGTAATATCTGAATAAGTCAGTTAGGGTTGGAAGAATAAGTTTAAAAAACCCAGGTCCTTCCTGAAATGATAGGCAACGTTTTAAAAAAGCAAAAAAAAATGGCCCATAGAACATAATGTTCCAATGGCCAAGGGATCAGACAAAGAAAAGGTGTGGACAGGGATTCCATATCTAAATATAATGAAGGCAGTTATGGAAACTAGATTTGCAGCATGAATCTGCCTCTCTAGAATGAAGGCCCTGCTGGATTGAAAATTAGCAGAAAATTCGTGTTTTCTCAGCAAATGTTTTCTTTAAAATCAATGGTAGATCTCTTTCTTGAAGTTTAATTGTCAAAAGTGTCAAGTAGCAGCATATAAAAAACAGCCAGAAGATAACCGGTGCTCTCTCCATTGTATGTCTGCAGAAGACAGCGTGAAGCCTTGACTTTAGAGGAAACAGACAGCATGATTTGTAAACATTCATACTGCAAAGAATGGCAACCACACTGCTATTGTGTGAACCTAAACAAGAGGTGGACAAAAGAACAGAAAGTTCACATTAAAAAGATAAAACGAGATGGTTAAAATGAATG